CTTAACGTGGAACTATTAAGGATAATTTCCTATTATTGTAGATATTACTATATCTCTTGTATATCTTCTTAGCTTGATCCCCAAGTTGTTAGTTTAGGGCTTCCTCTCTTGTATAAATACTTGACCTGAATGTTTAATAAAGATAAGCTGAATATTATTCAATTCTCTACTTTGACATGGTATCAGAGCACGAATTTTTTTTCTAAATCACAACCACGAATCTTCTTCCTTTTTGCCTCTCGGCATCTTACTCTCACGTTTAAAGCCTCTCGGCTTCTTCTTATCTGTTTTAATCTCTAAGCCTCTCGGCTTCTTATTCTCTGTTTCAAAATCATAGCCTCTCGGCTTTATCTTCTCTGTTTTCTCGATCTCTACTCTGTTTTCCGGTTTTAAAACAGAGCCCTTTGATTCACGATGGCTTTGGCTACTACAAACCCGAAACACAAGACCATCTCACCATATGACTTAACTTCGAACGACAATCCAGGGGCTGTGATTTCTCAACCTCTTCTCAGTGGAATGAATTACGACGAGTGGGCTATGAACTTTCGTATGGCTCTCAGCTCTCGTAAGAAGTTTGGCTTCCTTGATGGAAGCATCCCGAAGCCAGCATCCGACGCACCAGAACTTGAAGATTGGATGGCTAATAATCACTTGATTGTTGGATGGATCAAGCAAACAATCGAACCAAAGATTCGTTCCACAATCTCTTCTCGTGAAATTGCCAAAGACCTCTGGGATATCATCAAGAAACGATTTTCGGTTAAAAGCGGTGCTCGCTTACAGCAGCTTCGCAACTCACTAGCCAACTGCAAACAGAATGGATCCACAGTTGATGAATACTTTGGAAGATTAACCAAGCTGTGGGATGGGATTTCTGAATGTATGAACTCAAAACGATGCAGCTGCGGCAAGTGTGAATGCGACCTCAACACAGCTCGTGACAAAGAACTTGAGACTCTCCGAGTTCACGACTTTCTTTCTGGACTTGATGAATCCTCTCATGGTGCGATCCGTTCACAAATTTGCGCCATTACTCCTCTTCCTGATTTAGATACAGTGTATCAAACAATTTCCCAGAATGAGACAATCCGCGCTAATGCCACATCGGAGGTAGCTGTCATGGGATTTGCTTCTCGGGTCTCTGGTTTAAGCTCTTCTCAATTTCTGAATACTGTTTTTACACGTGATGTGTCAAAACAGAGCCCCAGCTTCACAGGCTCTTCTCGTTTTGAACCAGGGAACCGTGATCCTTCTCGCAAATGCTCCGGATGTGGACGTATGGGTCACGAAGCATCTTCGTGTTTCAAAGTGGTGGGCTATCCCGACTGGTGGGGCGATAGACCACGAAACAGAACTGATTCTCGCAGCTCGAATGGGTACTCTACAGGACGTGGTCGTGGCAACACTCCACGTGCTAATCTCACTCAGATTGTCAACGCTAATTCCGCAACCATTGGTTCTTCTGAGATCACGGACGCTGATAGACAAGGCTTGTTGGGACTAACTGACGATCAATGGAAACTTGTTCAAACGGTGATCAACTCTGGCAAAGCATCTGACAAACTAAGTGGTAAGAATAATGATCTTTCTTGGATTCTAGATACCGGAGCCACGCATCACATGACTGGCCGTTCCGATTTCTTGGAGAATACTCGTGACATTGCTCCGGTATCGGTTTTACTTCCTACTGGTGCAGATGCTATAGCTACGAAACAGGGGACAGTTCGATTAACTTCTCAACTCTCTATCATCAATGTTTATTTAGTTCCCGGATTTCATATCAACTTGATCTCGTTTGGACAGCTCGTTACCGATCACTTTCTTGTGGGACAAGTAACCGATAAACTTATGATTTTGCAGGACCGCACTTCGAGGATGGTGATTGGGTCGGGTGAAAGAGAGGGAGAGGGGCTGTACCGGTTTCGTGGGATTGAGAGTATGACAGCTTTGCACACTAGTGTTAAGGACGATTTTGTTTTGTGGCATCACCGTCTCGGACATCCATCTTCCCGTGTTACCGGCATGATTCCTACAGTTCGTGGTGTTTCTAATAATAGTAAAGAGTTTTTATTTACGAATTGTGATGTTTGTTTACGAGCAAAACAAACTCGACAACCTTTTCCAGAAAGTTTTAGTAATTCAAAAGAAGTTTTTGATCTCATTCATCTTGATTTATGGGGACCGTATCGGACTACGGCATTTTGCGGATCGCGTTATTTTTTTACTATTGTTGATGATCACTCCCGGGCTGTTTGGATATATTTGCTGGCTGATAAGACCCAAGTATCAACGTACATCCACGATTTCTTGGCCTTAATCGAAAGACAGTTTTCCAAGAAAGTGAAATCTATACGAAGTGACAATGGGAGTGAATTTCTCTGTCTTTCTCAATTTTTCCGTACACAAGGCATTACTCATGAGACCTCGTGTGTTCATACTCCGCAACAGAATGGTCGAGTAGAGCGCAAACACCGTCACATTCTCAATGTTGCTCGTGCTTTGCGATTTCAAGCTAATCTACCGATAGAATATTGGGGTGAATGTATTCTCACGGCGGGATATCTTATTAATCGTACTCCTTCACAGCTACTTAATGGTGTGTCTCCGTTTGAAAAGCTTTATGGACATGTTCCCTCGTATAAACACTTACGTGTTTTTGGGTGTATAGCCTATGCCCATAATATTGACCATAAGGGAGATAAATTTGCTTCACGAAGTCGGCGTTGTATTTTTCTAGGCTATCCTTATGGCAAGAAAGGATGGAAACTGTATGATTTGGACCGTAAGGTGTTCTTTGTCTCTCGTGATGTTCGGCTTCTCGAAAATGAGTTTCTGCCCTCTTTGTCCACCACGTCTCCTCCGTCGAATTCTTCTATATCTTCACCGGTGCTTGGAGTCTTTACTCCCGATGATGATCCTAGTCCGCTGCTTCCAGAAACTGATAATTCTGCAACTATACATGACACTCCTCCGTGTAAAGACACAACACCGGAACAAGACACGGGTATGGGGACAGAAATTCCTACGGATACTCACGTTAGTAATGACGCACAGTTAGTTGAAGAGTTGGGTCAAGGCAAGAGACCAAAGTTTCCAAATGTTCGCCTTCATGATTATGTGGTTGGTACAGCGTCCATTACTCCTCCCTCTCTCTCTTCATCGTCACCCTCTCTTTCGCCAGCCTCAGGTTTGTTATATCCTATCTCTAATTATCTCACTTATGAGAAATTTTCTGCTAGTCATCAGGTTTACTTGGCAGCCCTCACTACTCATGTGGAACCGCGTTCCTTTAATGAAGCCATGAAATACGAGGTTTGGAAAAATGCAATGGGATCTGAGGTAGATGCATTACAACGAAACCACACTTGGGATCTTGAGGAGTTGCCTCCGAATAAGAAAGCACTTGGAAGTAAGTGGGTGTTTACGATTAAGCTTCGATCGGATGGGTCTATTGAAAGACATAAAGCTTGTCTTGTTGTTCTTGGCAATCATCAAGAGGAAGGTATTGATTATACGGAGACGTTTTCACCAGTAGCTAAGATGACTACGGTTCGCATGTTTCTTGATTATGCGGCTAAGAAGAATCATGAAGTCCATCAAATGGATGTGCACAATGCCTTTCTTCATGGCGATCTCAATGAGGAAGTTTACATGAAAATTCCACAAGGTTTCTCTTCTCCTAATGAGACTCGTGTTTGTCGTCTACGCAAGTCTCTATATGGTTTGAAACAAGCTCCTCGGTGTTGGTTTGCAAAACTTGTGGAGTCTCTTCTTAAATATGGTTTTTCACAAACCAAATCCGACTACTCTTTATTTGTTTATTCCAAGAAGGGAATTACTTTACGCATTTTGGTATATGTGGACGATTTGATAATTTCAGGAAATTCTCAAGAGGAAATCAAGACATTTAAGAATTATTTGTCTACATGCTTTCATATGAAGGATCTTGGATTTTTGAAATACTTCTTGGGGATTGAGGTGGCTAGGAACTCGTCGGGATTTTATTTATGTCAACGCAAATACGCCACTGAGATTGTTGTTGAGGCGGGTCTTCTTGGGTGCAAACCGGCGGGTTCTCCGGTTGATCAAAATCATCGTCTCTCTCTCGCGAGTGGAGCCCTGCTCGCCGATTCACACACATACCGGCGTCTTGTAGGACGTCTTGTGTATCTTCTCGCTACACGGCCTGATCTAACGTATGCTGTTCACGTCCTCTCTCAATTCATGCAATCTCCACGTGAAGAACATTGGCTTGCGGCGTTGAAAGTTGTACGGTATCTTAAAGGCACTCTTGGACAAGGTATCCTTCTCCGAGCAGATTCTCCTCTTCATTTAACCGGTTGGTGTGACTCAGATTTTTCCACTTGCCCTTTGTCACGACGCTCTTTGTCGAGTTGGTTTGTTCAGCTCGGATCTTCTCCTATTTCGTGGAAAACTAAAAAGCAAGATGTTGTCTCTATGTCATCGGCGGAGGCTGAATATCGGGCTATGAATGCTGTTACTAAGGAACTCAAATGGCTCAAGGAACTACTTCAAGATCTTGGTTTTGATCATCAAGAACCAATGACGATTAGGTGTGATAGCAAGGCAGCCATTCATATCAGTTCCAATCCGGTTTTCCACGAACGTACAAAACACATTGAACGTGATTGTCATTTTGTCCGTGATGAAGTTCTTCGGGGCGCCGTCAAACCAATTCATGTGGATACAACGGAACAACTTGCGGATATTCTTACGAAGGCTTTGGGACGCAAGGAATTTGATGCATTTCTTCTCAAGTTGGGCATTCGAAACTTACATGCTCCAACTTGAAGGGGGGTATTAAGGATAATTTCCTATTATTATAGATATTACTATATCTCTTGTATATCTTCTTAGCTTGATCCCCAAGTTGTTAGTTTAGGGCTTCCTCTCTTGTATAAATACTTGACCTGAATGTTTAATAAAGATAAACTGAATATTATTCAATTCTCTACTTTGACAGGAACCAAGTTTAGTTAAATCTAATAGTAATCTGCGTTGTGGATTGGATTTAATCTTGTATAGAGAAGCGATGGGATGATCCGATGTTTCCTGTATGATATATTCTCTACCTCGTGCATGTGGCCTTTTGAAAGTATTGGGGATATAATTGATCATTTATACCTTACCCACAAAAAAAGTCTTAATGTGAAACAGTTTGCTTAATATGTTACGTCAAATCACTCAGGCTTCGTATCTAACAAAGCAATGTATATATATATCCAATTCCCGAAACATATTTTAACATATATATGGAATGTGTAACGTCTTTATCGAAAGTAATAATTTCTTACAAGTTGATGTGTTAACATGTTTCTACTTTTGGTTTTATTCATATAAGAGATGGTAGGGTCTTATAATTCATATTAGGAATGGTAGGGTCTTACAAACATGTTTCACGAAAATGAAAGAAAAACAAAGTGGTTTCTAAAAGGACAAGGCATAAGCATGTGAACTTCATCCATTAGCTCCACCTGATATGTTTCTCAAACTTTTACACTCTTCAATAACTTGCGGTCAAATTTTCTTTTGATTCCCTATATATACTTTAAAAACTTAGAGAAACTTGCTAACAAACATAATCCATTCCACTAGAAGCCCAAGACATTCAACATTCTTCGTCAAATTTGATCATCACCTAAAAAGTTTTTTCAAAATCTCCCTTTTTAGTCACTTGCATTGATCCTCAAAGATGGGTATCCAATTGATCGGACTATCTCAAGCAAAGCAAAAGCTTCAAAGAAGCTTATCGGCAAGAATCGCAAGTCTCTTGGCTACGTCGGGTACTAATAATGTCCCAAAGGGTCATGTGGCCGTCTATGTTGGGGAGACTTATCAAATGAAGAGATTTGTGATACCTATATCGTATCTAAACCATCCACTGTTCCAAGGTTTGTTGAACCTTGCGGAAGAAGAGTTCGGGTTTGACCATCCCATGGGAGGTCTCACCATCCCTTGCACTGAAGATTACTTCACTGCTCTAGCTTCGATTCTAAGTGGTTCATGATAAGGGAGCTAGCTCACTGATCATCACAATATTCATTAGGTTTCTTTATACAAATCTCTGTGTTTCTCTTAAAATGTATTTAAGTGGAGAGAAAATAACTCGAGACTGAGATACTAAGTGAGTCTCTTTCAAATTTTGATCAAAAATGATCGTGTGAGTTCTTTTTAACCATTCCATTTGTAAAGAATTCACTTTCTGAAAAATTAATCTATGATTCTTTTTGTCCATTAACAGTTATAGCCTTTGGATGTGAAATCTCATTAGCATAGTAAGAATTGTATCCACAAATATATATGCCTCAAACATCATATTATATACTATACACACACAAAAAAAATAAAATTACATAGATATTATCGATAGTAAATTTTGAAATTTATGGATAAAAGGTTATGTAAAACTGTTGAACTTTTTTTATATTTAATAAAAAGTTTTAGATTTTATGTCCACAGTTTTTCTGGAAACAATTTAGAAAGAACTAAATCTTTGTATAATATTGGTAAAAGACAAATTTCCCAGCCAATTATGCAATTTTTTCCTTTATACGTTTTGGTTTTGATTTTACTGTTGCCTAAGCCCCCTCTATTACATAAAACAATAAACGGCCTTACCAAACGGATAATCAAACCAAACAATAGAACAATACTAATACTTAAGACCAATTAATTACTTTCAGTTCTAATAAATTTACTACGCTTCAGACGAGAAGTGATGTCAATAAAGACATCTTTAGCACAAGGGATTGTGAGGGATTTCCTCTTATGATCTGTGCCGAACTCATCTTCGGCTTGAAGCAACAAGGCTTGGAACAAAGGATGGTTTAAGTAAGATATTGGAACCACAAATCTCTTCGTCTCTTCCTCGTCTACACCAACATATACCGCAAAGTGACCCTTTCGTACGTTGATTATGTGTCTTAAACGCGATATCTTTTTATCGACTACTCTCTTGACTTGAATAACTATAGTCTTGAATTGAATCATATTTATCTTTCAAATGAACTAAATTTGTTTTAGCTTGAACGGAGATGCATGTGTAGACTTTGTGGCTTTATCTACTTTATAGGGAGGAAGGTTTGTTGCTTTAGGAGTAGTAATTCATTGTTATAAATATCAAAGGATTTTATCACATATTGAATAGTAATTGACATAAATAATGGATATGTAGTATCTTAAATACATATTATGATATAATTTGTATTTTTTTCTCTAACTTTAAGAATTAAAATATTATCTTCTATCTTAATTTTATTAATGAATCTATCACATTTTCTCATTATTATTTGTTGCTAACTTAAGATTTTCAAACAATATAAGACTGTACACCAAAAAATTATATTTAAGATGAAACTCATAAATATTTGTGAATCCACCAATTAAAGTATTAGCTATCCTCATGTATATATATATATATATATATATTTTTTTTTTTTTTTTTTTTCCTCATGTATATATATATGATTCCTTAAAAGTTTAGAATCTACCAACTGTTTCAATGCATGCCGCAAAAGCGGTACCATATTTAGGCAAACTCTGAATACTATATATGATTCAAAATCTTAAATGTATATATTATTTATACGTTTTAAAAAATTAATATTTAAAATTTATATGTTTAAATAGACATTTGTTGAGAATTATAATCTTTGCATTCTCCGACACTCCGAACTCACTAATTATTGAACATCCTTTCACTCAAGAATGGAAAAGAAAGAGTAAGAAACAATATAATGTGAAGAACTCTTTGTAAAAAAAAAAAAAAAAAACTCTTTGTTGTTGTGTCTTCACCGCCATTGCATGCCTCTTTCGTTGGTTTTCTTTCCTTTTCTGGTATTCTTTTGTAATATTGTTTGTTTCATAGATTTCAGTCTTTTATATCTCTACGTACTGTCTCCATCTTCTATAATTTTTTTTGAAAATTTCATATTTTACTAAAATATATATAATGTGAAAAAACTATTAGATATATATATGACACTTTAATATATAGAGTCGCGAAAATCTATTAAAATATTTCACTAATAATAAATATCTGAACCAACTTTATGTTTCAATTAAAATATTATATTGAGCTTTGGTTCAGATATTTATTATTAGTGAAATATTTTAATAAATTTTGGGTAATGTTTTATCATTTTTCTAAGAAAATCTGGAAATCATATAACATAGACATAGTTTATAGTATGTACTTAACTACTGCATGATTTATTTTCAGTAAAAATCTATAGTAAATTAAAATGGTCTCATTTTAACAAAATCGTGTAAAATAAATAATTTACTAATGAAACGTTAGTTTTACAAATACTCATTATATTTAAAGATAAACACAAAATTTGTCTAAATCACTCACGCGTTGATGACATTTTACATATGAGCCAAATATATATGTTTCGTTCGATTTCTATATGCAACTCTTCTCTTCCAAAACACTAAACCATCTATGTCAAAGAACTATTTTAGGTCTAAATGCGAAGAACATATATCTACCACAATCAAATAAGATAAGAGAAAAAAAGGTAGTAGGCCATAGGCAGCAAATAGCTATAGATCTATAAGGATTTTGTTTTCGATCTATATCGATCACTAAACAGTACTATGTTGTATGTTCAAATTTCAGTCTAGCCACAGTCACCATCATCCTCATAATCACATGCAAAGATGTGTTATTCAGATCTTATCCAATGGACTATACATAGAGCTGCAATTTTAACAAACAAATATATCACATATTTCAGTAGAATACTAAAAAAATTATTATTTCAAAACTAGAAAACCATCTCGTTACTCATTCTTTCGTCCCAGCA